ACATTTGTGTTTTCATTAGACAAAATATGATGGTTGTAACATTCGTCATACATTAACACCTGAGTTTTTCATTATACATCCTTTTGAGAAAATTAAGTTCTGCATCATTTTTTTTTCTTCCGGAGCTTGGCTTTTAACAATATTTTGCATACCTTTCCCTGGAAATCCTTGCCGCTCGTGCCTAAAGAAATGAAATGAAATTAGAGAACAAAAACACAAGAAAATGTAGATACACACAATTTGCTGTATCCACTGTACACAAAAGCATTTTCAAAAATTATATTGAATTATTGACATACCCAGAATCAATAAGTGGAAAATGTATCGCCCGGACGTATTTAAACACAACAATATCATAAACTTAAACAACTTTGCACACACATCGTTGAAAAATGGTATTTGAGGTAAAAGATTCGAATCTTGTATTCGTAACAGAATAGGGAGCTATCAACACCTTCACTGATCTTTTTCACTAGCCATTCAAACACATCAGTAATCTATATTTCTAAATGTGAACTGGAACTTACGACTTTCGTCTTCTGCAAAAGGTGCTGTTATTATGTTTGTGGTCATACCCATCATGCGAAAGCTTGGATTCAATGTATCGAATAACAGGCTACAGATAGAGATACATATATATTTTATTATCATTGTTAGAGACATAGAAATTGTTTTTGCTCACAAACCAATTAAATCGAAGCAAAAAGAAAGATAAGTGGTGAAAGTAGGTCGCCCTGAAAGATTTTTTATAGTTATTTATATAATAATATTATAGTGCCTATTCCTTCAGGTTACAAACGATTTGTTTTCCCTGGTCATTGAGTCCACATGCTTAAGTGTTGCTGTCATATTGGCGCAGTAGCAGGCAACCCACCAGGTATCCATTTATACTCTTGGATGGAGAAAAGCAATAGAGATAAAGTGCCTTGCTAAAGGGCAAAGCGAAATGCAAAGTTTCAATGGATTGAAACTCCGACCTCGAGGTTGGGAAACCAAACCGTTCCCACAGCGTCAAACAGCTTCATGTTTCGGGGCCATGTGGGGCTTTCTCTTAAATATCTAAATATCTCTTAAACAACAATATTTATTTCACTCAAAAAGCCACACAGAGAACAAGTTCCTGTACAAAGTGCCTATCAGAATAACATTAGTCGATAATAATAATTCATACAATATCATAAATAACCAATTACAAATCTATATTAATTAAGCAAGTGACGGGAAAGGAAAATCTTCCTGTTTTCACCTTTACAACTGGTACATTTTTTGTATACCTAAAACAGATAATATTTACAAATGTTAATGTAAAAACACTAAATTCTATGTCAAATGTATTTTATTGTTTGGTGATTGAACTAAAAGTTTAATATATGAACGATTTTAGAGTAAAATGTGCTTATTGGCTTCATTACAAGTTCAGTAACTTTCTTTCCATTGAAAATATCACACACATAATTAAAGAAATAAGCAATTTTAATGTGTTATCTATTATAATATAAATAATGATTTATTTTTTATTTACCGCCTCGAAACAATAAAACCATACTTTTAGATGCAACATTAATAATTGTCAACTTCCAATTTTCGTAAAACGTAAAGGGTATTTAAGGAATAGTAGTGTTTCTAGAGTGTCTAAGTTTAGCCGAGTTTGGCTGCTAGGTCCACAAAGGTTGCTAAAGGAGCTCCGTATGTGCTGTAGTGTGGCAGTGAGTAGTATTGTGTTATATTGTACTGTTAAATCCATGTGCAAGGTTTTAAATCTTAAATTAAAATGTAGCACATGTAGTAGGCTTATTTCATGCTAATAACGTTCCAAGAAAAATCGTGGCTTTTGAGAAATTTATTATGATTTCTAAACCAGTCATGTTATTATAAAATATATTAAATATTATTACAGTGCCTATTTTTTCAATAATATTTTGAGTTCGTTAACTTTAAAGCCACACAAGTTTGGGCATAATTATGGGTCGGAGGGCCAAGGTGAATTTATGATTTAACACTGAGGGCCGCACCCGAACTTTCACACTTTCAGAAAAAAAAAAAGAAACCTTCATGCACTGTAGCTATTATACTACTTTATACTTTATATGTAAATGTGTACATATAAGCAGTGTCGGGCCGTATAAGCCAGGGGTTTTCTAGTTAAATGTGTCAGGTGGGCCGCATATTATGGGGTTGTCAGGGGCTGCAAATATATTGCAATCGGACCACATGTGACCCGCGGGGGCCGTAGCCTACTTTGCCCGCCATGTGGGGTCTTTTAAATGTAATACAATTAGTCTTTATAAAATGTGTAATATTTACCGTTGTAGGGAGACTCTTTTACTTCAATGACTTTATTGTTATGGTGACTGATAACTCTTGACTGTAATGTAAAGACATACGGTGTTTAAAGTCGAGTCAGTAATATTTTTTTTTTAATGAAATAAACTAAATGCTGAATCTTGGTTATATGTGAGTATCGTTTTAGCCTACATTTTTTTTAAGTACCAACTGACATAATAAATCAAATAAGAAATCATTCCGAACGTATAATACATTTATGTACTATGTTAAATGAGCTCACAAACAGCAAATACATTCCATATGCAAAAGAAATCATAGGCCTAATTATTTTTGACATCTTGTTGAATAAAGGAAACCGTCGCTCGGGTAGATGTTTTTGACATCGATGCGACACCTGTTGATTCAACCTCCGCTATATTTCTGTCATGCTTTCTGTTTGATTTTTCGAAGTATTCTTTGTAGAATTTTCTTACTGCCAACTTGAAATCATTGAATTTGAAAGCATAAATAATGGGATTAATCATAAAATTAACGGCATCAAGGATAACAGTAATCTCGTGAGCAACTGAGGAATTGAAGTCGAAACACTGGCAGATTGTATACGACAGATACAACACGTAATTTGGGGTCCAACACAGAAAAAAAGCTATGGCGACGAATAGTAAAGTGTACGTAAGACTACGCTGGGCCATCTTTAGGTTATTGCCACCATGGCCCGATGTAACAGTACCACTACGTCTCGCTCTGTAGTAAAGCCCTTTAAGTATGTATGTATAGCAGACGACTAAAATCAGGGATGGTATCATCCAAGCAAGGAAAAAAATTATCAGACCCGATGCTAGTTGTGACGCGTCGCTGCGATACTCAAAATAGCACTTCCCCTGGTTGTTTGTGTTGCCAATAACTGCGAGATGGCATGCAATTGCTATACCGATGATGTATGGGATCACCAAGTAACGTTTGTTACTTTTCTCTTGGGTTTTTTCTTTATACGTCACTGGATGAACTACAGCAATATAGCGTTCTATGGTCAAGATGACGAGATTGTATGTTGACGCAAATGCAAATAACCAGAAACTGGAGCGCGTTTTACAGAATATGTTACCTCGAGGTCCATCTGGTGCCGCATTGGTATAGTAAACTAGAAACAAACAGCTTGCAATGCTGTCAATTATCGACTGATGTAGAAGAAGTAAGTGAGTGAAGGATTTCTTGTGGACACTGGCCCATAAAAACATCATTACTACAAAGACGTTGGCGAAGATACCAGTTAGACCGACGATGAAGCGTACTGTTAGGCCTACTATAACTACATGTTGTGTGTAGTTATCGGCTGGTACGGTTGTCATAAGTCTACAAAATTAATAATACTGGTAATAATAATAATAATAGTAATAATAATAATAATAATAATAATAATAATTTTAACGGTAAATATAAATTCACATTCTTCCTGGATTATATTGTTTTATTTGACCACAAACTAAACTGAATACCAATTGTTGAAATGTCTGTAGTCGATCACTTAATGAAAGATAATAAAACTGAGTCAACTAAAAGTCGGTCTAGCGTTCAGTGTCAAAATGACGTTATTATATTATTTTATTATATTTATTTATGCTACTTACGAACTCAATTCTGTCGTGTGGTTCTCCATTGCGGCTCGTGTAGTATTTGCCATTTACCGTTTAGAAGTGAAGTGATATTACTTTGTATCCTTCACCCAAAGCCGTTTTGATGGCGTCACATCATTCCAATTGTTCAGTTGGATGGCGTTATGAAGTTATCCATTGACTAGTCTTCATCAAGAGATGGAGAGAAACTCCTATTAGCCTTGCTTTATATGTACATTATTTTATAAATAATTATAGTTCTATAAGATCACATATAAATGATCTTAAACTACAACCCTTCAATAGCGATGAACATGATGGAGTAGGCCCTTTTTCTAACAGAGCAATATGATTCCGTTATAATGTTTTTGATAATTGGTCTACTTAGAACATTAACAGTTTTGAAAATAAATTGGTTACATTCGTGTGTTTTTGTCAACAAAGTGATACATTAGGAGTTCAGTCCTACCTGCGTTACGGCTGAGATGTCGTTACACGCAATTGATAGCTTTGATCTAAAATTAAAGTTCATGAAGAAGTACCTGCCTTGGTTACGGTGGATTTGGCCACACGCAATTGAATTTTCAGCCCAGAATATAACAGCTGATTTTAGTTTCAGAACTCATTTACAACCAATCGTAAAGGAGCTTCTTCTTGAACTTTGATAACTATTGTTAGATTAGCTTTTAATTGAACGGGAGAACTACAATTATGCACGGTTCCATAATTATTGACGTAGATTCTTAAATCCTTTGATAACCTAATCATAATAAAACGTCTGCTAGTCCGTAAACCGAGTTGTACCCGTATCTATATGTGTCTTATTTGAGGTTGAACCTTTTAAATTCTTTTTTTTTATTTTGTTAATCTAATTTTTGAAAGGTTTTCCTATTTTACAACGGAGGTATATCTTTAAATAATTTCTCTATTATTTCAATGTTTAAAACTATTTATTAAAATATACTCAATATGATTGAATGAAATGACACAATTTTTAAAATTAATGATAAAATTGAAGAATGAACATCTTTTGAGTTAGCATATTAACTCACCGATAGCCTAAATATTAGCACTCTAAATCTCTAAATAACCTTTAAATGCCGATGTGTTAAATAATGCATTTAATTATGTGGAGAGAGACATGGATAAAAAATAATTGGATATTACTCCCAGGTAGATATTTTGCAATAATGTCACAGGTGCCAGCAACTTTTACCTGTACGTGACCTTAAACAGTGACATTAAAGGCCACGCCCAACTACATTTAATCATGTGAAGAGAGACACGGATGATTTTTTTTTATTGGAACTATTATACATTGAGGGTAACAAAAATACCAATGACAGCAACTTTATCCTGTACATAAGCCCAGACAGCAACCCCAAGGGACCCACGGGGTCTTATAGTAGCAACATGATAAAATCAAGCAAAGAGAGACATGAATGAAACCAACACTTCTGACGACAAACAAATGCATAGATCTTAAAGTACGTTAGTCATACTCGTTTCAATGCGGCCCAATACAGCATGCCACTTGTCGAACCTAGTGGCAACGGCTAGCGGTAGAAAAGAATGTCGAAAGTAGAAAACTAACAGACATCTTCCCACAGCATAGTTATTTCAGTGCCTGTTCACGAGGTTTACAGTTTGTCAGCGAGAACACATAACAAATTATGGAATAACTGAAAGATGTGCAAATGAGCTTAAAAACAACAAACACATTTTCTAAATGAAGGAAAATTATTCTATGTGTGTGTATGTTGTTGAGCTGAGGAAACAGTCGTTGGAGTAGAAGGTGCGACACGACCTGTTGATTCAGCATTGACGACATGATTTCTGTTGCATTTTTCAAAGTATTCTTTGTAAAATCGTCTTCACTGGCAACTTGACATCATTAAACTAGAAAGCATAAATACTGGGATTAATAATGAGATTAACAGCATTGAGGACATCTGTAATCTCGTGAGCTACCGAGGAGTTAAAATCGAAACACTGGCAGATTGTGTACGACAGATACAGCACGTTTTTTCGGGGTCCAACACACCAAAAAGGCAATAGCGACGCACTGCATGGTGTACGTAAGACTACGCTCTGCAGTTTTTAAGTTATTCCCAACTTGGCCCTTTGTAGTTTCCATAGTTACCAACCGTCTCGCATCGTGCGGGACGGTCCCACATTACAAAAGTGATTTTGGATGAAACACGCATCTTGCAGAAATACATGCGTGATCATAAATTTGTCACACATTTTAGCACAAATCTATGCGTTAACAAATTATCATGAATTCAGCGGAAAATGTATTTAAAATTAGAAGAAATTTGTTTTATCAACGATATAAAAACGGTCATGGAGTAAATTGAGTCATTAGAGAGCTTTCGTTACCTCATTCAAGAATTAATTCACCGACAAAATTTATCTTTCTGGACCAAAACAACCCAGCCAAAAAAGCACTTAGTAGAATCTAGGAAGCGCGTGCGGTCTTGCGCGTTCAGCCAACTGTTAATAATGTGACTATGAGTTTACTGTAGACCAGCGTCTCGCTCTGTAGTAATGTATGTATGTATGTATAGCAGACAACCAGGATCATTGACGGTACCATCAAGGTATTCGCATGTTGCTCTTCTCGTAGATCATTTCTTTATAGTCCACCGGATGAACTACAGCAATAGGCATAGTGTTCTGTGGTCAAGATGACGAGATTACGCATGTTGACGCGAATGCAAATAACCATAAAATTAACCGCGTTAAAATATTCTGTAAAATTACAGAATATTTTTACCTCGAAGTCCATCTGGTGCCGCGTTGTTGTAGTAAACTAGGAACAAGTAACATGTGATGCTATCAATTATCGACAGATGTAGAAGGAGTGAGTGAGTGAAAGAGTGATTGAGTGAGTGAGTGAAGGATTGCTTGTGGATGCTGGACTATAGAAACATCATTACTACAAAGACGTTGGCGAAGATAGGCCTACCAGTTAGAAAGACAACGCGTACTGTAACTTTAACTACAGGATGTGTGTAGTAATCTTCTGCTGGTACTAGTGTCAACCAGTAATTAAGGCGATTAATGTTGCTTAAACGGAGCAGCTGTATTCTGTTATAAACTCTGGTTTTGTAAGTAGGCCTAAGCCTACAGAGAACGTTAACAATATTGGAATGCATTGGGAATTGGTTAGATTCGTATATTTCTGTCAACAAAGCGATCCATTAATCATTCATTACACACAATTCACCGTTTTAGTTAAAATTCCATAATGAATTGCACCTTGGTAACTGTGGCTTCTGTCTACATGTACAAACAGAAGTTCAGACAACAATATAATAGGTGACTTAATGGTTTTAACTAATTATAAAGTGATGCCGTCACGAACTTTGATCATTTCAAACGGTTACATGATAATTTGCATACATTCGTAAATCTTCAGGTAATCAGTTAAATGCTTTTCATATTAAAACGTCTGCAAGTCATCAAAGACAAAATTTATACCCGTATTAACTGGGGATCCTATTAAATTAATTGTAATTCTTAATCTAATATTAGGAGGGTTTCTTTTCACTACAGTTGGTATCTTCAACACAGTTTTTTTTTTTCCAAATTAAATTAGATATTTCAGTCAGCAGCAGGCTGACTGGGTTCTGTTTCTGCACAGTTTCTTTCTTTCTTTCTGGCAATATTTTAAAATTCTACTAGTGGCAAACTACTGGACCGATTTTGATAAAACTTGGTCAGTACTACCGGTGCCACCTCCCATTTATAGGGTGTTCAAAACTTGAAGTCAGAGGTCACATAAGGCTCATTAGGTAAAAACATTTTTGAAAAATGAATACAAGACTTCTTCTGCCTCTTAAAATTACGATATTGTGTGTTCATACTTGAGACTTGATATTCCAAAGTAGATTTGCGTCTTTTCACAAATCCTGTTATCTCGGAATGCCTAATGATTGTCCTAAATTTATATTGTATTTATTCATTAATTCACTTCTTTGTTTCAGGTATAAATATGAATAAGGGTGAGGAATGTATATTCTACATTGCTGTCTATTTAAAAGAACAATGTTTAAAAATTACACCATTGCTGATGAAGGCGTGAGTGATAAGGATCAGAATCAACAAAACTGTGCCTATGGAGTTTCTCCAATATTCATAGAATGAAGGGACCTTATTCGTCGCAAAGGTTGATTCTCGGTTACTGTATAGCTTACGTAACGCATTATTAAATATACTATAATGATTTCAGTGTACTCTCGCTAAATTGAATTTTTCAGATCTATCTCATCATCCTTGCGAAATCCTGACATGCTATAGATCGCTGCATATGAAGTAATTCTACCTAAGACACATTGAATACTATAATGACAATTATATTTTTTTCTGATATACTGTACTCTATTTTATTTGTAAAAATAAGCTTATCAAAAGTCTTACCATGACCTTATTTTAGATCTATTAATAAACACAAAATTAATAAGTCAATGAGAATACCTTAGTGTTACATACAGTACTAATATATAATTGCAATAATGGTAAAAAGGTAATAATAAACAATAATAATGGTATTATTATTATTTTTTTTTTTTTATTCATCTTATTTCGTCATTTTTATTTGTAATTACCTCAATAGAAATTATAAATAGTCATAGTAAAGTATTATTGTATTATTGCTGTTTTAATAATAACAATTACAACACTATTAAAATGAAAATGATTGTGTTGGTACTTATGATAATGAGGATGGTAATGATGATAATAAATGTAATCATAATTATAAATCTAACTAGTAACAAAGAGTATAAAACTGTAAGAGGTCCGACTGCCCAGATTTTGTATGCAGCAATGTATGCAGGCAATGGAAAAATCTAAAAGTACTGCCCTACACATAATTTAGGGGGCGCCCTACACATAATTTAGAAACGCGTACGAGTTGCTCGAATTTTTTAAAGACCACGCCCCTTCGTGGAAGTACTTTTTGCATTCCAACGAATCCCCGGGAGTCGGACCTCTTGCAGTTTTATACTCTTTGCTAGTAATATTAAAAATATGAGAATATCAGGAAGAACAATGACAGGTAAAGAGAATCAACTACCTCGAGTTTTTTTGAAAGTAGGACAAACTATAATATAGAGTATATGATTTTTTTTTTTTTTTTTTTGGTATTATCATTGGTAAATTGTGCAATTACTAGAATATTTGGGTTTTTTTCTGTGTGTGTTGGTCTAGCTCTATTACTTAATTAGAAAGGTTACCGTTATAGCTT